GCTCAAACAAATTAAAGGAACATTTGAAAATGCATCAGATCTCTATGGGGAAAAATATCATGCTGGATATCTATACTGATATGGACAGGGTAATATGTTAGGAATGTAAGGATGCCCCATCGTTTAATGGAATTGAAAATTATCAACCTGCAGAGGACGACTGAATTCAAAGACACACCGAAAATCAAAGTGAAAAACTTATGCAGCAGCATGTTTAGTCCATTTTGCTGAAATTTAGTTGCAGCAACTCAAAATGGTACTCAGTAGTTTGTATGGCCCCCATGTGCTTGTATGCATGCCTGACAACATCGGGGCATGCTTGTAATGAGACAATGGATGGTATCTTGGGGTATTTCCTCTCAAATCTGGACCAGGGCATCACTGAGCTCCTGAACAGTCTGAGGTGCAACCTGGTGGCATCAGATGGACCAAAACGTGATATCCCAGAGGTGTTCTATTGGATTTAGGTCAGGCAAGCTTGTGGGCCATTCAGTGGTATCAATTCCTTCATCCTCCAGGAACTGCCTGCATATTCTCACCACATGAGGCCAGGCATTGTTGTGCACCAGGAAGAACCCAGGACCCACTTCACCAGCATAGGGTCTGACCATGGGTCCAAGGATTTCATCCCGATACCTAATGGCAGTCAGGGTGCCATTGTCTAGCCTGTAGAGGTCTGTGCGTTGCTCCATAGATATGCTTTCCCATGCCATCACTGACCCACCACCAAAATGGTCGTGCTGAACGATGTTACAAGCAGCATAACGTTCTCCGTGGCTTCTCCAGACCCTTTCACGTTTGACACATGTGCTCAGGGTGAACCTGCTCTCATCTGTGAAAAGCACAAGGCGCCAGTGGTGGACCTGCCAATTCTGGTGTTCAGTGGCAAATGCCAATCAAGCTCTATGGTGCCAGGCAGTGAGCACAGGGCCCACTAGAGGACGTTGGGCCTTCAGGCCACCCTCATGAAGTCTGTTTCTAATTCTTTGGTCAGAGACATTCACACCAGTGGCTTGATGGAGGTCATTTTGTCCTGCTGATAGGTTAAGGACCTTCTACAGCTCTGTCCAGCTCTCTAGAGTAACTGCCTGTCTCCTGGAATCTCCTCCATGCTCTTGAGACTGTGCTGGAAGACAAAGCAAACCTTCTGGCAATGGCATGTATTGATGTGCCATCCTGGAGAAGTTGAACTGCCTGTGCAACCTCTGTAGTGTCCAGGTATTGCCTCATGCTACCAGTAGTGACACTGACCCTAACCAAATGCAAAACTAGTGAAAAACAGTCAGAAAAGATGAGTACGGAAAAAAAATGTCAGTGGCCTCCACTTTTAAAACCATTCCTGTTTTGGGGGTCGTCTCATTGTTGCCCATTTAGTGCACCTGTTGTTAATTTCATTAACACCAAAGCAGCTGAAACTGATTAACAACCCTCTCTGCTACTTAACTGACCAGATTAATATCCCAGGAGTTTAATTGACTTGATGCTATACTCTGATTAAAAAGTGTTCCTTTAATTTGAGCAGTGAACGTCTGTCTGTCTGTCTCTCTTTCTCTCTCTCTCCCCTTCCACTCTCTCTTTTCCTGCCTCTTTCCTTCTGTTATTTTCTTTTGTCTTCTTACTCTCTTTATGTTCTCTGGCTCTATCTTCCTTCCTTCCTTCTCTCTCTCTCTCTCTCTCTCTCCTGCCCTCCCTCTCCCCGATCATTTTTTCTCTTGCACTCTCCCTGCCCTCCCTTCCTTTTTCTTTCCTTCTCTACTCCACATTCTTTCTCTCCCTCACTTCCCCCTCCTTCCCTCTCTTTCTCATCTCTCTTTCTTGCTTTGCCTCTACCTCTTATTAGGGCTCGTTCACACTATGGTGCAGAGATATTACTTTTTCTGCACGTGTTCTGCAAGGGCACAACAAATTCAATTGTTCTCTGTTCACACTACAACACTAGTATCACGTGCATATTTCTGCGCAGGAATCTGTATAAAACTCATTGAAGTGATGTCTCTGCAAGTGAAATCTCAGCTTCTGTTTCCATCAGTTTTTCTGCATGTACAGTATGGTGTGAACAAGGCTTAGACCCCTATCTTTTTTAAGCATCACTTGTGTCAGCTGGGTTGTTACAGGTATACATTATCCATCATAGCCCACCTTATGTTTTCTTATGGCGAAAAAGAATCAAAGTTTTCACTACACTTTTGTTTCTTTCATCTGTCATTTGATCTGTATGTACATCATTTAGATCCCAATGGCACTCAGATTGTTCAAGGACAGAATGTTATTTTGCTATCTTTATTCTTGATGAACCATCTGCCCAACTGTGGCCACCCATAGACTCAAAGAGAAACTAGCATGCAAGTGGCTTTGCACTGGGTGGTAAGACTTTAAAGAGTCTTTTTTTATTATTATTATTTCCTCTCTCTTCCTTGCTTGCTCCCTCACTTTTTATCTTTTTTCATCATGTTACAGATATAATTCTCAGTTGTGCTATTCCTGCCTCGTTAGGAAATGAGTATTTATGGCCTCTCGTTACGTTGGCTAAATTAGAGGCCTGCATATCCTCCCCAGCACGTGTTGAGTGGTTAGAGGACACGGGACCTGATCTTTTTCCAGAGGCTTGGTTAGTAGTGTCCGTGTCAGCTAAATTTTACTTGCATTGGACCAAAGTCACGGCCTGTGTCCGTTATCCAAACCACACGATGAGGCCTTTCCATCAGCCGACTTTGTGCTGCAAACCCGTTAATACTACCTTCTTTAAATCCCCCCTCCCCCACAACTGCAATTACATCAACATTTTTACAATTATATTTGGCAGCCTATTTTCCATTTTGGTCATCCTTTGTTTTTTTTTTTTTTCTTTTTTCAGTGGATATCACTAAAATTCTATTTGCATACAGATTTGGTTAAAGGGACCTTAACGTGATTGTAAAGGTATATATTACAAATATGTCATATTTACCTGCTCTGTGCAATGATTTTGCACAGAGTAGCCTCAGTCCTTCTCTTATGGGTCTCCACACTGGCACTGATGGCTCCACCCCCCTTCTGAGTTCACTCATAGCCAGACGCTTGTTATGGGGGCGCTCATGTGGGGTCGATCACAAGCCAGGCTCTGTGTGTCCATGGACACCCACAGTGCAGCTTGGTCCCCCATGCAGCCACTCACTGACATGGGAGCCAAAGCTGTAAGATCACATGACCAGAGCAGATTAAAGCATTCACTGAAAAAAATACAAGGCATTCTATGAATGGTGGGAGCGCCCCCTGTGGTCAGTGTGCAGTGGTGCAGCCACTCTCAAAGTGCTCCAGCAGAACCTGGAAGTTTGCAGCTATCACTGATGTAGTGGTAGTTACTACAATGATTTTCAGCTTCCTTGGCAGCTCATCAGGTATGACATATGCATACTTACATTGTGTCAGGCTGGACCAATGTAAGTTTGCAATGTAGATTATTACTGAAGTTCAGCTTTAACAAGTGATAGGGCTTTATTACATGGTATATTTTCATTTTTGACCATAGTTCTACTCTAAAGTGAACCTGTCCTGAGGGAACACCAAAGTAAGACCGTGTATGCAGCTTAATAGTGCCTCTCTGAAACTGGATTCATGGGAAAAAAAAGAGAGAGTGGCTAACACGGTGCTGAGGCCACTCCATACACCCAACACACCGGACTCCTGGGGCTGCTTTTAAGCAGCGTCCACTCCCCCTTACTAAAGTAAGACCGTTTCAGCACCTTTCACAGTGGTGCGCTTTTGCTGCGCTTCTTCTTCTGAAAACTATTCCCCATTAAATCCTATGTAACTCTTCACACTGCAGGTGCGTTGCATGCTGCATCTTTGGTGCATTTTTCCAAAGTGCACCAGAAATTCACCAAAAAGGCACCTTCCATTGTAGCACATTCTTGTGAAAGAGCTCTTAAGCTGCACAAAAGTGCATCATTTGTGTAACCACCATCTTTGTACAAATTATTAACAGCAATTTATCACTCAAGTCCATGGACTGCTGCTTTAAACCATACTCCCTTCCAGCCTTTGATAGTGAAATTATAGCCAGGCCCACTTGAAGTTGGAAGCAGATCTTCACCCATTTCAGGAACTTTGCTTCTTTGCATCCCGCCCATCCATTTTGTTTGTTTATCTTTTCTTTTTGCTTTCTAAATTTTTAAAGATGGTTTTAGAGAGAGAGTTTTTTTTTAACTCTAAGTTGCTGACGATTCCCCCCCCCCCCCCCCCCGCCCGTTCGCCTAGGCGAGTGATGTCAGTGCACCCAGCGCCAGGAGCCCTGCACATCACCCCAATCATTAATGGAAGAGTGGGGTGGGGCTGGGCTAGCGGCACATCATCGGTAGGCTGCGCCAGAACCTGGAAGAGCCTGGGCAGCCTACCGATGATGACAGATGAACATGGCAGCGGCTGCTGAGAAGAGGATCTCAGCAGAGCAACACTGGATCCTGTGTGTGGGTGAGTATCTCAGTTGAACTTATCTCAGCAAAAGAAAAGGAGAGGAGCAAAAATAATAATAGGGGGAGGATGAAACTCCTCTTTAATGTATATGTAAACTCAAACCTTCAAATAAGCTTTAACATGTTAATTTAATTATTAGTCTTAGGTTTAGATTTGCAGTTTCATTAGAAAAAATCCTTGGTGATCCCGCCATGAGGCACATCCTGTTGCCGGGTGACAACGCTCTGCACCTGTCTCCCATTTGGGGACTACAAGTGCCTGAGCTAATGCATGTTACATAGATATGGCCCACAGTGGTCACCATCCGGAACCACCTCCTCCAAAGAAATGCCTTGCAGCCATTGCTGGAATATACTGTATGTAGAAAAAGTGGCTGCAGGAGATCAGCAAACACTGAGATGTAGTAGAGGATAAAGAAACAGAATTTTATTAAAAACATGTCAATTGTTTATTATACTCAGTGCAGAGAGTAAACAAAATATTATCCAATGAGGTTTTACATCTGCTTTCATATACATCGTACTATATCTTCATCTTCTCTGTATTTTTCTTTCTTCTAGGCAAAATAAAGATCAGAATAAAAAGGTGGCAACATTAAAGCACAAGGAGCAAGTGGAAAAGAAGAAAAACGCTCAGCTTTTGGAGGAGGCACGGAGGAGAGAGGACAATCTCACCGACAGCTCACAGCAGCTTCAGGTAGCATCCACATTATTCTGTGACAGTCTTGACTGTTGGTGCGGATGAATTACTTCTGTATAGGTATATGTGTGAGTTAAGAGGCGATTGTAATATTCTGAATTTTATTCAGATTTTCAGTTGTTTGATAATTAATTTTGTGTGTGGTGATGTTTGCAGTCATCTTCAATGAAATTAGGGTCACATGACATGGAAAGTTTCTTGTTACTTTTGATCCCATCCTGATGTAATAGTGTGCTTGTATCATGATTGTAATAGATTTTTCTTTGATAGCGTCAGGGGTGGTGGATTTATTTTTCCTGACTTTAATTTTTTTTTTCAAATGAAAATAGGGCAGACAGATTGGTACTGTAAATGCTAAATTTGATCAAATGTTTGTAATTTTGAACTTATGGCCAGCAGTATTTAAAAGTATAGACTTAGAATGCGTTGCTGCAATAAATATAGAGATTTATATGCTGGACACTTCAGCCAGCCAATGTTGGGTTTGGGGTCAGTTCACAAAAAATCCCAGTTTTAGACTCTGCTGTTCTTTGAGGTTTGGGGTGGAATTAATGGTTCAATATTATAAGACCTCGGAAAATAAGATCAGCATGTTCCTGTATACTGCAAAGGACATCTGCTCTTCTGGCCTGACACACACCCTACTCTCTGCGCTGCCAGAAAGGCAAGGGAGGAACGTGGCATCGCCCAACCCGTGGCCTTATGACGCCATTCTGTGTCTGATATGTGTATAGGTCCAGTTAAATAATGCTGTTGTTGCTTCTGAAATTTGCCCCTTCCCCCATTTAAAGGGACACTCTACCTAAAAAGTTTATTTCAGGGTTTGACGGATGATGGAGAGTTGCTCTATACAACAGTCTTTTTTAACGCTTAGGGATAGCTATTTGTGTTGAGTTCCTGGTTCTGCACACCCACTGCCCCTATTATGATGTGTTCCCGCTATCCCTGCTGAATTTTTATTTATTCTTTGCTTATGGAGAATGCCACAGAAGGGATGGGAACACTCCAAAGGTTAGTAGGAATACCCAAATGGTCAAAGTTGCTAAGAACAGAAATAACCACTATGGCTGTGAGATTGATGTACTTCCAAAAATGTATTAGAATCTAAAATGTGATTTATGCCACCGCACTCCTTCCATAGCTGAAGTAATACTATTAGGTAGTGTGACTTTTTGACATTTATCCAATGTAAAGCTGGTATTTTTATCTTAAGTATATGCTGTTGAGTCAACTCCGCTACTAGCAATACATACCTTTTGAGAATGCCCTTCAGCCCCCCACACCCTTGAAATCTCTCTCTCCCCTGGTCACAACATTTTCAGCCCTCTGACACCAGTCTCTACAATGTGACATCCCATCACCATGGAGCCAGAAACAACAGTAAAATCCCATTAGAGGTTATTTGCTGTCTCTATTCTATTTTAAACTAAAAGAGTTTTGGCTGAAGTTGAGTTTTAGTAAGGACAGATTTTCCTTTGTCATTCACACCTGTCGTCCACAGTGTTAAATGCTGGCTTGATCCTTAAAGTCCATTTCAAGGAAAATGTTGACCCTCCATTTCTCCCTCTTAAAAAAATAAAAATAAATGAACTTTACAAAGTGATTTTTACTTACCTGATTCTGCCATCAACATCCCTCGGTGCTGCCTTTTCCGGCATTGGAGACCAGCGATTCACTGTTGTAATCTGGGCCCTCCAAACCAGTTTGAGCATCCCCTCATTACATGAGCATGCCATTGCAGTCTTCTGGAGCCTTGGATGATACCATTGCAGGACAACCAATGAAAAATGTACATGTCATCCATGCAGCAATGTGGGCACCTGAATAAGGATCCTCCATCTTTACAGTGGTGAAGAGAGAAGACTTGAGACCCAGAGTGTCATATGATCATTAGCCAGTGGGCGGTATTGATTGCGGAAGTTTCCTGGCCGGAGTTGAACTTGAAAGATGCTGCACCCTCACAACTTGCTAATACAGGCTAGGAAATCTTGTTCGATTGCTGCTTTTTGTCTTGGTACATTGCCCTATTAGGAGTGCCAGTGGGACTAGAGCATTCCAAAAACTGGCCAAGTAGACTCCTTTAGACGGTCGGATTGTGCATGTACATCTGACTGTCTCTTAATGATATTGGCAGCTGATAGGACTCCATGCCATTGGTTACTGGCCAGCGAATAAACACAGTTACTGCTGCAGACTGTGGCAGCTGATTTATCTCAAACTAGAAACAGACTTCTGGTTTAATATCCTGAATTCCTGAAGATACCTTGACGTTCTGAAGTGGGCGTCCTTTCCCTGGCTCTCGTTTTCTAGAAAGTGTCTCTAGCTAGAAATATTTTGGAAACATCCCCGGAGCTTTTCTTAATCGCGTCTGGCAGAGGGCAGCGACAGAAGGTCCATTCACGAAGAAGGAGCTCGAGAGACGGATTAGGGCCCCTGAAAAATGTCTCCAATTAGTCACTGGGGGCTTTCCGTGCCCTCTCTAAGAGGCTGCAATTTAGGGCCTTGGCCTCTGTCTCTGCCTTATTGTGCTTGGAAGGATGAATCCAGGTCCCCAAAGGATGGTGGTTTGGAGTGATGCCACAGAGCAGACGAAGGGACCTGTAGGCAGCCATCTATCTTGTTTTCTCATTGCTGGCCATGTGCCATGTTGTCCGGCGCAAGGTTTGTGGTTTGGGGCCCCTCCAGCACATACAGCCTGTTTACTTTGGATAAACAAGGTGTTTCTGGAGGTCTCTTGTGTGTGTTGGGTATATAGCAAACTACACGGGAAGTTGCTGCAGTGAACCCAGTGGAAGTCTGAATTTTTGAACGTCAAAGTTCTCATGTCTCCGAGAGCCTCATGAAGGGACTAGACCCTGAACCCCTTCTGCTTCTGAAGTTTGGTGGAATTTTTTCTTTGCAGTTACAGCCAAACTTCTGTGTTTACAGCATACATTATATCATAGAACATTTTCTTAAAGGACAACTCTCTTTTAAACACAATTTACTTCTATACTAACCATATAATATGGACTGTAAAGTCATTTCAGTTTGAAGAAAAACTGGCATTGCTGGAGTGCATTTAAGCAGGAAGTGGCTGCAAAGAGGCAACAGGGGATCAGCAGCAATGAGAGGCAAGAAAGGAAGGAAAAAAAAGTGAAAACAATATTTTATTTAAATAAAAATATAATTGTTTATGATACACAGCACACATGACAATAAATGTCATCCAGTTAGGGTCCTCATACTTGTCATACATTTGTATAAATGTTAGGAGCTGTGCATATTCACATGTCCTAGCTCACTGCCATAAGGGTGACCTAGGCAAGTTTGCCTATTTTGAGGGCGAGTTGAAATTTGTCTAGTTTGAAGGTGAGCAAAAGTCTGCCTATTTACAGTGATCTTAGAGGCAAAGTGTGATCATTTTTAGTCAGTTTTTTTTTACATTTATATGTTTTCGCTTGTGTATGTTGTATTTAATTTGTTCAGTAACTTCTTTACAAACCAGTGCATCCTTGACTCACAGTTTGAAAAACAGCCTAACCTTTCTTTTTACTAAAACCATCCTGACCTATGTAGCTGTAGCCGTCTGTGTGACTGTCCCTTCCCTGCTGGTAGATTGAAAGGTGGATTAAGGCGTCTTGGAAAAAAACACACTGTGTGTGTGTGTGTATGTATGTATGTATGTATGTATATATATATATATATATATATATATATATACACACTGTATGTACAGCCAGCAAGCTGGGACTCTTTTTTCAGAATACACTGATCACTGGCTGCAGCCCATTAGATGCTGATCGCGAAACATTTTCCAGCAGTCTAACGATCGACTTCTGTTGGGCAAGAGTGGCCAAATATGTATCAAAATTTGGCCAGTCCCTGCTGAACTAACCAAATTTCAATCCATCTATGGCCAACTTTATATTGTATGACTAAAGCTTTGTGGAACCATCTCGTCTATTTGAACATCCCATTCTTAAGCCATGGCCATTATATTAGGAGTTGACTACATTTGTGGCCATAACAGCCTTCACCTTTCTTGGGAGACTTTTCAGAAGATTTTGGATTATGTTTGTGGAAGTTTTTTCCCATTCAGGCAAACGAGCCTTGGTGAGGTCAGGAACTGATGTTTGGCAAGAAAATCTGGCTTGCAGTCTGTATTCCAATTCATTCCAAAGGTGTTCAGTAGGATTGAGGTCGGGGCTTTGTTTAGTCCACTCAAGTTCCTCCACACACAGATTATATTTGTTGGCAGGTGAGATAATATGACACCTATAGGTTTCAATCCTGTCCATCATGGAGGTACGATCAGACCATATGTTTGTAGAACTAAAAGTGACAAAACAGCCTTGCTTCGATGGGCAAGTTTGTGGAATTTCGAGTGACAGAATAGTCTTGCTGTTAATCTTTGGAAACCACAAATAACCAGATCATCTGCAAAGCTGATCTGTAACAACTGGGGAGACAATGCCCAACTAACTTTCTTTCCCAGTATACCATTAGAGGGCAAAATGGCATCTCCTGTCTCAGAAGTTTTTTTTTTTCTGTCCCAGTTACCGGTGCTGGTTCCTATTTTGCAAGAATGAGATCTGTACTCTTCTATTGCGCTCTATCATGACAGAGAGATTAATGGAAGCATTGAAAGATTGTTTTCCTGTGAGATCCCAGTGCTGGAATAAGCTTTGATGGACTTATTCAAACAATAGGAGAGGACTGTAAGTACCCAGCAGAAGTTTGACACTTGGCCTCTGTCTGCTCTCTAGTTGCATTAGGAACACTGACTGGATACTGGACTGTTTTCCCAAAAGTTTGTTAAAGATTCATTAAGCATTAATCAAAACCTGAACATCAGAATGATCTCAATGAAGTAAGCAAACTTGAAATATTTTGACATTTTTTGAGGAGAATAATATAATTTAAGGATGAATGGTCTTGGTGCCAGTTGGTTTTGGTTTCAACAATAATCAATATCATTCCCTTTGCAATTTCTGTCGCTGGGCAACACGGACTTTCAACTCCCTTCAAAGGTTTTCTATGGGGTTGAGATCTGGAGACTGGCTAGGCCACTCCAGGACCTTGAAATGCTTCTTACGAAGCCAGTCCTTCGTTGCCCGGGTGGTATGTTTGGGATCATTGTCATGTTGGAAGACCCAGCCATGTTTCATCTTCAATGCCCTTGCTGATGGAAGGAGGTTTGCACTCAAAATCTCACGATACATGGCCCCATTTATTCTGTCCTGTACATGGATCAACCGTCCTGGTCCCTTTGCGGAGAAACAGCCCCAAAGCATGATGTTGCCACCCCCATGCTTCACAGTAGGTATGGTGTTCTTTGGATGCACCTCAGCATTCTCTCTTCTCCAAACACGACGAGTTGTGTTTCTACCAAACAGTTCTATTTTGGTTTCATCTGACCATATGATGTTCTCCCAATCCTCTTCTGGATCATCCAAATGCTCTCTAGCAAACTTCAGACGGGCCCGGACATGTACTGGCTTAAGCAGGGGGACACGTCTGGCACTGCAGGATCTGAGTCCCTGGCGGCGTAGTGTGTTACTGATGGTAGCCTTTGTTACGTTGGTCCCAGCTCTCTGCAGGTCATTCACTAGGTCCCTCCGTGTGGTCCTGGGATTTTTGCTCACCGTTCTTGTGATCATTTTGACCCCACGGGGTGAGAACTTGAGTGGAGCCCCAGATCGAGGGAGATTATCAGTGGTTTTGTATGTCTTCCATTTTCTAATTATTGCTCCCACAGTTGATTTGTTCACACCAAGCTACTTGCCTATTGCAGATTCAGTCTTCCCAGCCTGGTGCAGGTCTACAATTTTGTTTCTGGTGTCCTTCGACAGCTCTTTCTACCTATGATGCCAATTACAGGCCTTTCTCATCTTTTTAAGTGGGAGAACTTGCACAATTGGTGGCTGACTAAATACTTTTTTGCCCCACTGTATATCTGGCAGCAGAGGGGAAATGTCCAGTACTGTTTCTGAAACACAGCGCAGCTTATTGTACATAGTACAAGCTACTACAATATATTACAGACCAAGCAGCAGACAGTCCGTTTTGGCATGCAAATAATTAGTTTATTCCAAGGTGGACCAAACCTGGAAACCTGGAGTTCTTGTTTAACCTATGGCCAGGATTTAGATTTGCACACTGATGAGACTGTTCTATGGGTTTTGAGTAACTTGACATATATTGCACAGGCCATCAGGCCCATCTCAATTTCAATTCCTCCCTTTTGCTGCAACTACAGAACCAAATTACAGTGTTGAGCTCTCTTCATCAAGAATGAGCGTCTTAGTGCTGATGGAGTTGGCCTTTAATTATGGCTAACAATATTTTGCATTCCATGTTAAAACTCCTCATATAATCCAGGCAGGGCTTCTGTGTGGGAAGACCTATAGCTTTATTGCTTCAGTATATTCCACACCAGGCCAGCCTCCTCCTCACATATAACGCTGCGCGCTGAGAGAAACTACTTGAAGATCCAGTTTAATTTCATCGCCGTCGTCTGTAGGTGAACATCAAACGAGGGCCGTTTCCTGAGCCGAAGAGCCATGGCGCATCTAGAGAGGCTCTTAAAAGACTTAACACAAACCATTTCCTTCTGGTAATAATAGAAAAGTACTTGCAAGCTTTTGTAACACAATCCCTCAGCCTCTCCTGGAAAGCTCTTCTCCTTAGAAACTCGCTCCATGTTCGCCATCTGGATTTCATTTTTGTTTCTCCATGCTGTTGAGGCTCTGGAGTCCAGGCTGCAAGTCCGCCAACACTGCTGATTGGAACAGACTTCTGGGCAAGTGGCCGGATCTGAAATGGATCATTTGGGAAATGTCTTCGATGGGCAAGAGAGCTAAAATAAAACATTGTTTTAGCCGCTTGCTGGGCCTGTGGTTTTTTTACACAATCAATAAAACTGAATTCCAACCTTAAACTGGCCATGCATTATTAATTATTTTTTTTTGTAGGTTTTAGAATACACTGATCAGTGGTGGCAGCCACTGATTGATAGAATTTTCCAACATGTCCTGTCGACAAAAGCTGAGTGAACAGCTTTGGCGTTTAGTCTTATACATTTGTACAGACTCTTCGCATTTACAGAAGTTGCTTACTCCAATTTTACTACACGCTGTGAGCTTCTCCCAATGTGCAATAGAAGCTGGCACAATTCAGATAGAACCTGCCACATTTCCATGCTGTGGGACATCCAACATCTAGCCTCTTCCTCCCCAATCTATTATCACCCCAGGCCGTCATGGACATGCTCCCTGGGGGTACATTATCACCCTGGCCTGGGCTCACAGTAATCTTGCACATGTCCATACTTTGCAGGACGAATGATTGAGCACAACCACCTCTGCAGGAGAAGTGGAAGAAGGACCTGTGACATTACAGACTTGCCCAAAGACTGGAAGGGGAAAAATAGCTTGTATAAAGTGATTTAACTTAAAAACAAAAGAAAAAGTTTGGGGTGGGGGAGTAATTGTTGGGGATTGGGGTATACACAAAAGGTGTACTCTACTCCATAAACAATAAAACCTGACGCCGAGGCCTAAAAGCTGGCACCAAGACATACTGCTGCCTGTCTTCTATGTACAATTTAGGGTTCACAGAGAAATTAGTCGTGGGCTCATAGATGACAGTCAAGCAAATCCTGGTGCCTGTGCAGTTCTTGGTTGTGGGCACAAATGTCAGACACAGATCAGCTCCTGCTACAGTCTTTCATCTTATCAATTGCTACATCGTTACAATGTTTCTGCTTGATCTCTGACATGTCAGGTATGTATTCAGAATTTTAAAGTTACAGAAAGAGCCATTTTATTTTTCGTTGGAGACAATTATTTGTAAATATCATTTATAGGATTTGTGTGAACAAAAAAAAATCAGCAGAATAAGTTGAAAAGAGTTGGACTCACAGATGTAGGCATGAACCACACAGTGCGGCATCTGTGTGCAAAATATTTTTCTTCATTACTGAACAAAGAAAAGCAGAATTTTTCTTTTTAAAGCATCATTTACTAACAGCTGCTCACTAACCATCTCGGCTACTCATGCCACTGAAGACGATGCTAATTTCTTCTAACTTGGCTCTCCTGCACCTGCTCTGTGTCTTCTGTTTCTCACCTACTGACATCTGTGTTCCTTTATGCCTCGTTTTTCCCCTGCAAGACTAACCAGCATGGCATCTGTTGAAGAACTGACAATGCGAACACCAAGGCAGAAAGGACATGTTAGAGACTGTGGCCTTCAAGCTGGCTTTTTTCCCCCTCTTCATTCTGATGTACTTTTTTGTATCTGCAATGACCTAAATGATGTTTCTGTCACACTTGACGACTCCGGCTGTCCTGGCTGTTCTGCTCTTCATCTCTGTCCTGCTTTACCTGAACATCTCTGGTCTTTTGCTTTGGCCTCTGTGATCCTCGAAAAACTCTTTGACACAGGAGTCTACTCCTGATGAAATCTCCCTTCCTTTCTGCAGGACGTCATGCATCAGAAAGATGACCGCATCGAAGAGCTGGAAGAGGCTCTGCGGGAAAGTGTACAGATTACCGCAGAGCGGGAAATGGTTTTGGCCCAAGAAGAGTCATCAAGGATCAATTGTCAGAAGCAGGTCAGCTACTGTGTATTTTTTTTTTTTTTGAGGGGGTGGGGGTGGGGGACAGATCTCGTGTCCTCTCCAGAACTGGCATCAAGTTAATTCTAGAAGTTGGAACAGTTACAGACTAACCTTAACCCTTCACATTAGTTGTTTATATTATCTTTTTTTTCCTACTTCTAAAGTCTGTTTTGTAAGCAAATGAGTAGAAAAAACCCTCAAAACTAGTACATTGATCAACATTTCTAGTATTTTTTGATATATTCATAATATACCTCCACTGTACGCCTGCTATGTAACTGCTATAAACTGTTAATTCAACAAAAGTTCCAACAGAAAGAAAACAAAAGAGCATGTTTGCTGGAAAATGTAATCATGTATAAATCCCCATCAGACCAAATTGTACAACACAAACATAACAAATAAAATTGCTTAAAACCAATATCATAGAATTCGGATAACAACGTTCCACACTATGCACTATTTGGCCAAAAGTATGTAGACATCTCATCAGGTAGTTGGGTTCATATTTTATCAGTAATGGGTGCAATGAATACTACCACATACACAAAACTCACCTATAGGCCTACAAACACCTTGCCCGTCCAAGGTCTCTAAAGTGACTTTACAATAAAAGACCAAAACTAAAACGCCATTACTATACTTCACTGTAATTTTCTTTATAGTGCTTTATTAATAATATTACTATCAAACATCAAAACATGAACACCACAAATGCCATGTCCCCATATTAAGTCCATTTATTGTATGTTATTTATTGAATGTTTAAAATACCAACCCTAGTAAAATCCCACGCACCAAATTCTCTGATGTAAGGAGAGTTCTCCTACATAAAAGTTTGACAGTACTGTCAATCCAACTTCTCCAGACAGTTGATATTAATGTCCAGAAGGAAAGGGCATTAGGATATGTATTGTCAAAGGAAATAGCCAGCACAATCAAAAATGTACATGCTTCTTGATGCTGTGAAGAAAAGAGAACAAACCGTATGTATTTAGTGTATAGTTTTCTTATCAAAAAAAACACATCACTTTAGGAATGACAATTAATGTTGAAACAATCATATCCAATGATGTTAAAAATAGGTATCGTACATTAGTGATCATACACCGCCAATTATCATACTGTATCAGACTGTCCCATTTGACTCTGGGGTACACTCATAAACCCTCGTGGGATTCATACTCCTGAAAGTCCTCCCAATGTTGATCCATAACAGCAAAGTGGTAATGGTGATCAGGGTGACTACATAAGTTTAAGCAAAAAAGATGTGGGACCAATACCACTGGATGTTTTCAAACACTGTATTGTAGGCAGTGATTTGATAAGCAGAAGAAAAATATCTCCAAATCTTCTCCACAGACAGGTAAGGCACCATTATTCTTCACAAGGGCACTTTTGGTCTGTCCGGATTTATCTAAATACAAGAGGCATGTGTATTCTTACTTGAATTTTGGTGTATTTTGTGTATTTCTTTCAGATCTGTGCAGTAATCCAGTGTGAAACTTTGTCTCTGTTATGGAGCTTTCTGTAATAAAAACTGGTCACTGCTGCTCTCTTACCTTGTGCTGGATGACTGGTCTTGTTTCCACTCCTCCTGTAGTTTTCTGCAGGCAGCCTGTAGTGGATGGAACTTGCTCCGTCCCCCCCGTAGCTCTCTGCACAGGCTCTGTCGAGCACAGTGATAATATCACTGCTACTTTTGCAAGGTAATAATTGGGTTTGCAAGGCATTTGGTGAACACAAATTGAATTTAAATCCAGTATGGCTACTGTGAATATATTTACATGGGAGTTTTTCGCTTGGAGTGCAACCTTAGCTGTACAGTAGAAACCGTTGTTCTGAATTGCCTCAATAGCTTGTCACTTGATCAAGTATGGAAGCATTGGTAATGTGATCTCTGCTAATGAGGCTTAAGGAACAGTGATATGTCATGTGACCGGTGCCTAGACTTTTAGTTACTTAACCAGTATACGTAGACCAAACACAGGTTTATCAACAAAATAAAGTATTTTGGTGCCTTTCTCCATTTATGGAAACGTAAGACAAGATAGGCAGAATGGGGGTCGAGGTAGTACAATTGTCCTTTAATATACCACCACCCAATTGCCTTTCTTCCCATTACAGCAATCTTCAGTGAGTGGCTTTGTCTGCCGCCATACATTGTTTCTTATGACACATACACACCATGGCCCTAATCCTTTTATGAACAAGCCATCGTCTGCTTCAGGCTGCTAGGAGTATGGCTCATACATGGGAATGAATAGCGATATCAATATTTGTGTGCATTAAAAATTGGACTTGGGTAGAAATGTGTTACCAAATGTATAGTGGTGTTTTTGTGTGGTGTTGCGTGTGAATGACACATTGGGAAGAGGTTCCAGTGCTTACATTTGCTTGTTGTGTTTTGTCTTCCGCCTAGCTCAACTGTAAAATTTCTAGGAATATTCTGTTTCTAATGTGTTTCCAGTTTGTGTCTTGTCATTGTGATTGAAATGTGGCAAATATGGTCAGCACCATCTCTTGGCTTGGTGGGGAGGTATTGCAGAATGTGTAACCCATTGAAATGTTGGTGCAGTTGGAGAGAGTTTTCAGTACTGTAGCATAGATGTGCAGTGTCTGCTTTAGTGGGAGGTGTTCTTGTAGTATGACATGTTGGCACAGTATTGTCTAGTGCAGGGGTGGGCAACTGTGGCCTTCCAGCTGTTGGTGAACTACAAGTCCCATCATGCCTCTGCCTTTGGGAGTCATGCTTGTAACTGTCAGTTTTGTAGTGCCTCATGGGACTTGTAGTTCTACAACAGCTGGAGGGCCACAGTTGCCCACCCCTGGTCTAGTGTTTGGCTTGGTAGGTATGTGATGTATATTTTTGTAGAGTACACTTGTCTTCATGTCAAGTTGAACCCTCTTAATTTATTGCTGTAATGGTGAGGCTGCATATACGGTAATGACTGTACCTCTTTTCTAAAGGGTTAAATACCCCCATGCTAGCAGCAATAGGAGACTAACAGCAGCCCAACTCCCCAACACACTCCCCTGAACACTGCTCCAATTAACAGCTCTGCTCAGGGAGTGAGAATCATGTTCATTAGAGCAGTGTTTAGTTGGGCATATGAGACCGTAGGAGGAGGTGTGTGAGGGCCTCGGGTCTGTGGTCTGGTCTGATCTGTGTTGCAGCTCTGTTATGTGCTGACAGTACAAAGTTAATTAAGCTGTTGTTGTACAACCTATCTGATAAAAGAAATAGTGAAACAATGGCATATTTATTACTGTATATGCTGCCTGGCTGCATTACAGGAATAAATCAAGAGGTTTCAATTAGGTTTTAATGGCATTATAAACCTTCCTACGTGCACCTGTTTTTCACCTGTAAGGGTGTCAGTTGATGCCTTGTGCACACATCCCAGAGTCATGCTGCATAGCACTGCACAGGTTAACACATGAGCTATGTCTGTAGTCTGAACTGACACTTCCTGTGAAGAGACTACATATTCATCAGTCCATGGGTCTTTCAGTCTAGTGTTCTTCAGACGAGGGTTAATTAATTGGATCTGAAACAGGCAGAAGCAAGCAGAGCAATTAACAGAGAGCTCAATATGCAGTCTTTCATCACATTAGCAGTCCCACATTCATGATGCAACACAGAGGAAATGGTAAGGCATGGATTGTGACCTGGAACAAGAAATTAATTTTCCCTTTAGCAAGTTAGGTGGATTAATGCATGGGAAATGAGAATCATTCTGCCTTGATATTACAAACTACAGCCCCAACACATGAGTCCATCATTACAAGGTAAGGCAAACAAATGACACAGGGAATATAACTATAGGAATACCTATTTAAAACAACAAAAATATTTGAAAGTGTACAATGTCTTTAAGCTTAGCACAGTAGTTTTGGCTAATCCCTGCACAGTTTCAACCTGATATAATTGCATGCTTCTTTCCTCTCTTGAATCTTCTGCCTGCCTGAAGTTGTCTTGTGAATTGATGCATGGCGCCAGCCTTCCTGCCTTTAAATGGTGCAAGGTATGCCAAAATTACCCTGTGATTGGCTACCCTTAACTGCCTGTCCCTATCCCATACCACCACCAACCCGATTTCTAGGAATGCTTGTGTTAAAGGAGTTGTATGAACATAGCCCAACTTTACAACCAAACTTGTCTCTCTCCCTCTTGATCACACCCCAATGTTAATTTCTGCTTTTATTTTGTTCCTGTAGTGAGAAATACAACCCCATGTCCAAAAAAGTTATATTGGTGCGTAAAATGTACATGAAAAAAACACAATGAAATGATTTGCAAACCTCATAAACCCATATTTTATTCAAAATTTAAAACATATCAGATGTTTAACATTTTTGCTGCCTGGTCCATACAAAGACAGCAAGGGTTTTACACTGCTGCAGCCACCAGGATTTTGTTGGGTATCTGTTTTCTCAGAGCAAACTCGTCTTTTATATTTTACCACAAATTGGGTAATTTATTGTGTTTGTTTACCCCAAAATTAACTTTTTGACATTTTGCATTTCCTAGATCCTTGAGGTAATATTGTGTAATTGTGTAATATAAAAAATGGAACTACCACTGTTTTTGTTCTATTTTAGAAAATATATAATGGTTTCGGGGTTTATGCAATCTTCAGGTATAAAATTATTTTTTAAAAGTGTGTGCAAAAAACGCAAAAATGATGCACCATTTTATGAAAAATTAAGGTAATTTTTAAATTGATGGAAGCAACATGTCTAAAAAAAAAAAAGTTGAGACAGGGCAACAAAAAGTGGCAGAGAAAGTAGTACTAACATGGAAGAGCTGGAAGAACATTTTGCAACTAATTAAGTTAATTGACAACAGGTCAATAACATGACTAGATCTAAAAAGAGCATCCTCAAAAATCAGAGTGTCTTAGAAGTAAGTGCAGATGTGCAGAGGTTCACTAATCTGTGAAAAGCTGTGTCTAAAAATTGTCAATTTCAGAATAATGTACCTCAGCATA